CCCTGGCCTTGAGCAAAAAAACTACAGGACAGCACCCGGGCTTTGAGTTCAAGTCCCAATATGCCCCCCTCCAAGAAACAGCCCAATTATTTTCCAAAATGGCTATACCATTTTGCATTTTTATCAGCCATGTGTAAGAGCTTAAAAGTCCAGCTCTCGGAATCTTAAGGCATATGTGTGTGTTGGGTGTGTGTGTTGTCATGTCATTTATTTTTATTTATTTTTTTTTTTATAGTTTTTTTTTTTTATTGTAAAGCTACTATACAGAGGGTTACAGTTACATGAGTGAGGTTATGAGTACACTTCCTCTTGAACATTGTTACCCCCTCCATTGTTTTCCCCCTACCATCCCCTCCCTCCCTCCCTTCCCCGAGGTTCTTTTTTTTTTTTTTTTTTTTGATTGTGATTAAATGATTACATAATTTCAAAGTCACAAGTTCATTCTAACTTCCCTGGAGCAAATTGTCTACCACAGTCTGTAATATATAACAGTGTTCACATGTTGTCATGTCATTTAATAGAGGAATTTTATTTTAGTTTTAATAGATATTCTGTGAATGATTACTGTTGTTAAGAGCCCCTCTTACTCTCCATTTCTCTCTCTCTCTCTCTCTCTCTCTCTCTCTCTCTCTCTCTCGTCTCAGTACATAGTCCAGGCTGTCATTGAATTCATAATCTTCCTGCCTGTGCCTCCTGAGGGCTGGAATTACAGGTGTGTACCATCATTCCTAGCTTTCCCTGAGTGATCTTAATGCTGCTTGTTCATTTGGAGAGTAAAGCATCCCTAACTTAGTTTCTGGTGTTTTTGTCTCCACACTGATTGGCCAAACTGAACATCCACCATCCACATAATTACTGAGGTTCAGGCAAGCACTGTGTATGCAAGAGCACTCACTGGACATGGAACAAGCAGACCTTGGTTCAGCCTTGCTCTTCCAGAGTTGTTTTTCTTGTAAAATTGGGCTTTGTTATCAAGGAAGAAATACTTGTTGTCATGGAGTATAGCCCTGGGGCTGGGTGCCCAAGCCCTCCCTGCTCTCCTCAGAATGGCAAAGCAAGAATGAATCCCTAAATGTGCAAAATATAACCGGAAATGAAATTCCAGGCACCCAGTGGTACGTTCAGTGGTTTCATTAAGCTCAGGAAATGAAAGCCCATCTATTATGAAGCAATATCACCAGTGGCATAATGTGCTGGTTTAGAATTAATACTCAAAGCCTGGCTCAGTGGCTCATACCTATAATCAATCCTACCCACTCAGGAGGCTGAGATTTGAGAATCACAGTTCAAAGCTGCCAAAGCAGGAAAGATCCTGACAATCTCCAAAATAAATTACAAAAAAGTCGGAAGGGGTAGAGTATTAGCCTTGAGCACAAGAAACTTGGGGACAGTCAGTGCCCAAGTTCAAGCCCTAGGATTGATGTGTGTGTGTGTGTGCGTGTGTGTGTGTGGTGTGTGCGCGCGCACACCACACACACACACACGTGCATGCACACACACATACACACATAAAAATTGAGATTCAGAGCCCAGGTCTATGGCTCACACCTGTAATCCTAGGTAGCTCTCAGGAAGCTGAGATCTGAGGAATGCAGTTTGAAGCCAGCTCAGGCAAAAAGTCCATAAAACTCTTGTCTCAATTACCCATCAGTAAGCCAGAAGTGGAGCTGTGACTCATATGGTAGAGTGCCAGCCTTGAATATAACAGCACTGTTAGTAATGGGTTCGGGTATTGGGGTGTCTCATAGGAATAAGGACACCAACTTGAAAGGCGCTTGGCAAAGCAAGATTTACTTCTGCAGAGTGGCACACCATCCCCCAAAATCTGGCAAGCAAGCAGGCTGCTCCCTTTTTATCCCTAACCCAGCAGGCTCGGCACCTCTGGTTCCACATGCTGAGCTTAGGTTCACAGTCTGTGACAAGGATTTGGCTTAATTAACAGGATCTAACTAAAATTCAATGAGCTTTTTTTTTCTTGCCAGTCCTGGGCCTCAGTCAGGGCCTGGTCACTGTCCCTGAGCTTCTCTTGCGCAAGGCTCTAGCTGGGGCTCTAGCACTTGAGCCACAGCACCACTTCGGGCCTTTTCTGTTTATGTGGTACTGAGGAACCAAACCCAGGGCTTCATGCATGCTAGGTAAGCACTCTACCACCAAGCCACATTCCCAGCCCAAATTCAATGAGCTTCTAACAGGATATTTTCTTTCTTTCTTTTTTTGTCTGTCATGGGCCTGAACTCTGGGTCTGGGCGCTATCCCTCAGCTCTTCAGCTCAAGGCTAGCACTCTACCACTTGAGCCACAGGGCACTTCTGGCTTTTTCTGCTTATGTGGTGCTGAGGAATTGAACCCAGGGCCTCATGCATGCAAGGCAAGCACTCTACCACTGAGCCACCTTCCCAGCCCCTAACAGGATATTTTCATTAAAGATCAAATGCAATTATCAAGGGCCAAGCCACCTGGCCAAAGCGGGAACTTTTCAGAAAAACACTTCTCACAAAAGTGTCAGGAAGCAAACAACTTTAATAGAAAAGAATTTTTTCTCGCAGTGCCCAGACCTTGAGTTCAAGCCCCAAGACCAGCACAAGATAAATGGAAACACAGTCCTCAGATTTCAGATCCTCCTTCTAGGAGAACTTGGGGAAGTTGCTTCACTGCTCTTGGCTCAGTTTCCTTCATCCGTGAACAGAGAATAAGAATGGAGTCTCTTTATGGGAGAGTTGGGAGAATTAGATGGTTGCTAGATGTGAATCACCTATGAATGTCTAGCTATTACTGTTTTATTATCTGAGACAAGGGGTGTTTTTAACAGAAGTATAAACAAATGAAATCAGCGGGCGATCTGGTGGTGACCAGCCTCGTTCACCACATTTGGTCAATGAGATTAATTTCCACTCCTCTCAGCTTTGTGGGTCACTGTCCAGACTGACAGTGTTAGCTAGAGAAGGAAGCTCCAGAAATGCTCTACTGGCTCTTCAGGTCTACCTACAGGACAAGGCTCAGAGTCAGCATCATCCAGGGCTACTAATGTGTGGTGTGGTAGTGCTAACAGTGGTGGTAGTGCTGTGTGTACTGATGCTGGGGCTTGAATTCAGGCCTCATGCCCTTATTCAGCTTTTTCACTCAAATCTGGTGCTCTTCCACTTGTGCCACAGCTCCACTTCTGGCTTTTTACTAGTTAATTGCAGAGTCTCATGGGCTTTTCTGCCTGGTTGATGTTGAACCGAGATCCTCAGATCTCATCCTCCCGAGTAGCTAGGATTAGAGATGAGCGACTTGGCTTGGTTAGGGACTACTGATTTTGCTCACAATTTTTCACTCTAAAATCATACAAGGCTTCCTGTCAACCTACTTGCATTTTAAAGTTTCATTAATGACTAAAAACCTGGCTAAATTAAGGAAATGGCTTCTATAGTAGACATAGGTATTTTGTGAATAATTTTAAACAGATGTATTCCATTTTCTCTTCCTTTTGCCAATTTCTTTTGCATTTGTTCTCAAGTTGTTTTGCTAGCGATCACAAAGCTATTTTCCTCTCTAAAGAGAATTTTGTACGTTATTTTTCTCCTTGTTATACTCAGACATGTTGAGGAACACTTTCTGTAAGAAGTGATATTTATTTATGTATGTATTTAATTATTCATTTACTTATTGCCCATATTGGGACTTCTTTTTCTCTCTCTCAAGGCTGACGCTTTGTCACAAGAATCACAGCTTCATTTTGGGCTTTTTGGTGGTTAGTTATAAAGAGTCTCACAGATTTGCCTGCCCAGGCTTGTTTTGAGCCGTGATGCTCCTACCTCAGCATCCGAGTAACTAGGATTACAGGTGTGAACCAATGGTATGCAGTATCACTGTGTGTATTTCTTTTGCATGCTTGTGGGAAGGGGAGATCTAAGCTCCTTAGAGCTTATATTTCTTAGGTTAATGCCCAGATTACACTGAGTATATTTACACAGATTATTCCTGGGGTGTAAAGAGTGCACGTTTCTTGCTTTTGCCACACAGTGACACTTTTAGACTTGAAAGCAGTTGACCTCCACTCGAGGGGAGTCTGCTTGACGTGGAGACAGGGAAATAAGTCCTAGGCAACCGAGACTGTGTTTGTGATCAGCTGTCCCTTGCCTGCCTTGCAGGACAGTTTCGGACCCTGAACCCCTTGAGGTGCGTGCTCCTTGTGTGCACGGTGCTGGTCATCACAATGATTCAGAGTGGTCTGTGTCCATCAGGACTGGGACTAGTGTGAGGTGCGGGGCATTTGCGCGCCTCACCTCTCACCCCACCCCGGCCCTGATGCCCACCCTAACTCGCAGCTCACCTGAGTAGCTAGATTACACCTGAGTGAGCGGCCAGTGATTGTGGCAGCACACGCAGGGGCGCCAGGACGGCCAGGCAGCCCAGTTTGGGGGAGAGGCTGATTTCCAGGGGTCCGTGTCCGCGCGTGGCCCCGGCGGGCGGGTGGGTGTGGACGCCCCTCCCTCCATGGTCCCAGGGTGGCCAGGGGTGGGGAGCGCCGCGCCCAGACTGCCTTTCGCCCCTTGGGATCCGAGAGGGGGCGGCAGAAGGCCGGCGAGGGCGGCGGGCGCGGGCCGAGGGCGGGCCGGCCTGGCGGGCAGCGGCCGCAGGGACGCGGGGAGAGAGGAGGAGGAGGCCGGGGGCGGGGGCTGGCCCAGCCCGCCGCGCGCTCGCAACTTGCGGGCCCGGGAAGTCGCGGGCAGGAGGGAGGGAGAGAGGGCGGGAGGAGGGCGGGGCCGGGCCGCGGCCGCGGCCGCTGCGGGAGGAGGGGCGGCCGCAGCTGCATCCAGCCCCGCTGGCTTCCTCCCCAGCCCTCCTCCTCCTCCTCCTCGTCCACCTCCCCTTCGTCGTCGTCCTCCTCCCGTGTGAGTCAGGCATTTCACGGGGATTCGGAGCACCACGCGCGGCCCGAGCGCCCGGAGCCGAAGCCGGAACCGGAGCCGCCGCCGCCGCCGCGCCGGGCTCCCGCGTCCCGGGCGCTCTGGGGCCATGGAGAGCGCGGCCCAGGGCGCAGACGGCGGCGGGGGCAGCCAGGGCAGCAGCCGCAGCAGCAGCCGCGCCACGTCGGCGGGCTCCTCGCCCTCCTGCTCGCTGGCGGCCCGGGGAGTGTCGGGCCGCTCGGTGGCGGCCGTGCTGGGCGGCGGGGGCAGCCGCAGCAGCCCGGGCTCGGTGGCCGCCAGCCCGTCGGGAGGCGGTGGGCGGCGGAGGGAGCCGGCGCTCGAGGGCGTGCTCAGCAAATACACCAACCTCCTCCAGGGCTGGCAGAACAGGTACCGCGGCCTCCGCGTGCGCGCGCGTGCGGCGGGGTGCGGGCGCGAGCGCGGCGGGGCCCCGCGCCCTTCCCTGCGTCCCCGCTCCGCGCCGGGGTGGCCCGGGATGGGCGCGGCGGGGCCCCGCCTGGCCGCTCCGCAGTGGCGCGAGGGAGGCGGCGGCGGCCGCCGGGACCTGCGGGGTGTGGAGTGGCGGCCGGAGTGCGCTGGTTGGTTCCCGGCCAGCCGGCGGCTTTCTGTCCCCATGCACCCCTGGAGAACGGCGGAGGAAGGCAGGGCGCAGAACGCGCTTTGTACCTGGCTCAGGAGGCTGTGGCTCGCTGTGGTCCGATCTCAGCAACCCCTCCGCCCCGCTGCCTAGTTCCCTTTAAACTTTGGTGTGTGAAAACAGTTACCACTACCCACCAAAAGCTTGCTACTTGTCATCCTAGGCGACCTCCAGCGCGCAGGCGTACCCCTGCCAACTTGGGGGCTTCCAGTCTCCAGTCTCTGCAGGGGAAGCTTCATGTAAATAAAATAAAAATAAAAAGAGAAAGTAAACGAAAACACTTTCCTTTTAAGGTGGGCAGTTTTCTATTTAGTCGTATTATTTCCCCTTCAGGTGACATCTGAAGTTTCCTCCTCAAAGTTGGGAAGCCTAGATATGGACAGAGACATAGAAAGATGAGGAAGTCAGGAGGGCGCTCCCAGTGTACTAGGGGTGATTACAGTGTCCAGGAAAACCTCTAGGAATCAGCTCTCTCTCTTGTCTCTCTGGTTCTATCCAGGCCTTGAGCTTAGGCACTGTCCCTTAGCTTTTTCACTTGAGGCTGGTGCTGTATCACTTAAGCCACAGCTTCACATGAGGCTTTTTGCTGGTTAATTGGAGATCAGAGTCTCGTGGATTTTCCTATCCTGGCTAGCTTCAAACTGTGATCCTTTCATGTCAGCTTCCTGAGTATCTAGGATGACAGCCTTGAGCCACCAGCACCCAGCACTCCTCTTTTCTTTCTTTTCATTTTTATTTTTTAGAAAAACAAGCCCAAGAAAAATGCAGAGAGCCATATAAAGGCATTGGAGACTATGGTGGGATCCTTTGCTCTCCCCTTAATAACGTTCCTTGGTCTTATAATAGGTTTGGGACCGTGAGATTTGAATTAAGCCTTGGAAAGTTCTTGCTGATCTCTACTGGGTGGACTGACTGCTGGGTCATCTCTTCCTGCACTGTTTGGAAATGTTCATATTGCTTCCAGCTGAAACGTCCCAGGCTTTTATTTACGTGAAAACTTGGAGCAAGGTGACCCTGGATGGATGGATGGAAACCAAGTTGTTTCTCCATGGAGTTCTAGACACAGAATGCTCCAGTCACCCTGGTTTCCTTGGAGATCTGTTACTATGTTAGTGGAAGTTGCACTTAACTTTGGAATCCTTTTCTCTCTCAAAATAGCCTGTGTCTGCTCTTCCCTCTCCCTTTCCTCCTCCTGTTCTTGAAAGCTGAAAAGAAGGTAGAGTGATTAGGAAAAGAGAGCTAGGAAATGATTAAACCCAGGTCAGTACTTGGACATTGTATCTAGTTAGTGGCCGTTCAAGGTGCCTGGTCAGTGACAGCACTGGGCTGACCTGTTGCATGGTCACTTCTAATGCTTTGCTCCAAAGCTTAGGAGGCCCAGAGAGCTTTTTGACTGGATCACAGACGTTTTACTTGCTTGGGTAGAGTATTATTCCTGCAATGTTGTATTAGAGGATTTAGTGGATTGAGGAGAAATTGGAGTAATATTCTTTTGCCTAGTTTTATTCTAGTTTGTGTGTTTATCTTAGTTTCTATGTGTCTGTATGTTTGTGTGTTGTCTGTCTATACTAGGGCTTGTACTCAGTGCCTGAGCACTGTCCCTTAGCTTTTTTGCTCAAGGGTATTGCTTTCCTACTTGAACACAGTTATACTTCCAGCTTTTTTGGTGGTTAATTGGAGATAAGACTTCCTTAGACTTTCTTACTTGGGCTAGCTTTGACCATCATCTTCAGATCTCAGCCCGCTGAGTGGCTAGGACTATAGGCATGGTACATCATGCCTGACTTATAAGCAAGGTTGAGTAGAGGCAAAATTAATAACAAATCTACCTGGTTGAAGGCTATGTAGGTCAAATGCTGTGTTGTATGTGCCACTGAGCATGCCCAGTGAGGTCTCATCTTTACTGAATTTGCTGGTCTTTATAGCTGTTGATTGTTTGCCAATGCCTGCTTTTACCAGAGTAGTTTCATTTCCCAAAATTTGTCTCTTAATGGTTAATGTCTCTATGTGGCAGTGTGTGTTTCCCACATTGTGTTCTCTGAACCAAGGCCCAGGGTCCATTAGTGGTCTGGAGAAGATTTATGATGACCTTTGATTGCACACACTCCTTTCTCTATAGGTCTTCTGAAGGGAGAGGAAATGGCAGAGAAAAGAGGATTGGGATGGCAACCCCATAGATGCTTCATTCGTTCAATTAGTTTACTCAGGAGCCTGTTTTTAGAGAGTATGTATGTGTGTGTGCTAGTTTTGGGGCTTGAATTCAGGGCCTCATCCCCTCACTAGGCTCTTTAACAGAAGGCTAACACTCTACTACTTGAGTCACAGCTCCGCTTCTGGGTAAAAGCCAGAGATGAGTTTCATGGACTTTTCTGCCTGGGCTGGCTTTGAACCAGGATCCTTAGATCTCAGCCACCTGAGTAGCTAGGATTTATAAGTGTAATCCACCAGTGCCCAGCTCTCAGTGACTTTTTTTTCTGGGGCTGGGGTGGGGTGGGTTGGGTTGTGGGGCTTGAACTCTGGGCCTTTGCACTGTCCCTGAGCTTTTCAGCTCAAGGTGAGCCCTCTAACATTTGACCATAGTACCACTTCTGGTTTTCTGGTGGTTAATTGGATTAGAGTCTCACAGACTTTCCTGCCCAGGCTGGCTTCGAACCGCAATCCTCAGATTTCAGCCTCCTGAGTAGCTAGGATTATAGGAGTGAGCCACTGGCACCCCACCAGGGATTTTTTTTTTTAATGCCAGGCCTGGGGCTTGAACTCAGTGCCTAGGTGCTGTTCCTGGTTTTCTTTTTTTTTTTTTCCCCACAAGGCTAGCACTTTGCCACTTGAGCCATGGCCCTACTTCCTGCATTTTTGGTGGTTAATTGGAGATGAGTCTCATGTACTTCCTGCTTGGCATAAGTTTGAATCTTGATCCTCATATCTCAGCCTCCTGAGTAGCTAGGATTACAGGTGTGAGCCTGATGAACCCGGCATCAGGGACCATTTATTGGGTACCTACTATGTGTCAGACATTGTGCTTGGATCTGCTCCAGGAAACAAAATATAGTTATTTTCTCATGAAGTATTAGAGGCAAATTAGGATCAAAGGATACAGTGAGCCTGGCTATTCCCTGGTATTGGGGTGATGCCTTGGTACAGATTCCTGCTGCCTTTCTGCTTTGGGTCTCCCAACGTCTTTGGCAGTTCTTTTCAAATTGCCTACAATTAGTGATAGCCTCCAGCCCTACACAGTTCTTGGTGAGTCCACTCAAGCTGTCATGACTCTGGTAGCTCATTTCACCAGCTCTGTGTGTGTGTGTGTGCGTGTGCACCTGCGTGTTTGTGTGCCAGTCCTGGGGCTTGAACTCTGGGCCTAGGCACTGATTAAAAAAAAAAAAAAGATGTTGGAAAAAGAGAGAGGCCAGGGGCTGAGAGAAGCTATGAGCAAATTTCAGTGACTGGTTACAGTGGCATACTCCTGTTATCCCTAGTGACATGGGAAAGCACAAATAGGATCACAGCCCTGGTCAGCCTGACCCTTCCTCAAAGATAACCAATTCAAAATGGGCTGGAGGAATGACTCAAGTAGTAAGAATGCCTGCCTAGCAGGAGTAGCGCCCAGAGTTCAATCGCTGCTACCTCAAAATAAAAATAAGTTTGAGAAATAAGGCTTTTTTCTTTAGTTGTTTGTTACACATAGTTAGAGAATGTGTTTCAGGCTTGTAGGATGGCATTAAAGGCTAAATAGATCCCAGAAAATGAAGGGACAGGTGGGGAATTGTAATGTGAAGTTAGGAAGGGTAGTGAAGTAGAGGTTCATATTTGCAGGTATGGCTTATGAGGACCTACTGTTTACTTCTGTCCACACTTTATTTTTTCCTTTTTATTTATTTTTGATGCAGGTGGTAGAGCTTGAACTCTGGTCTTGGGCACTATTTTTTAGCATTTTATTTTTTTGTCAGTCGTAGGGCCTCAACTCTGGGCCTGGCCGCTGTCCCTCAGCTCTTAGCTCAAGGCTAGTAGTGCTCTACCACGTGAGCCACAGCACCACTTCTGGCTTTTTCTGCCTATGTGGTGTTGAGGAATCAAACCCTGGGACTTAGGCATGCAAGGCAAGCGCTCTACCACTGAGCCACCTTCCCAGCCCTCTTTTTAGCATTTTTGCTCATGGCTGGTGCTCTATCACTAGAGTCACTGCTCTGCTGTTTGCTTTTTGCTTTTTATTGGCTAACTGGAGATAAAAATCTCCAAGAGTGAACTTGCAAAGAGCATATCTCTGGATCTTGGGTAGTGCCTGTCATCTCTCAGTGCTTGGGAGGGGTTAGGAATGTAGGTTCATCTTGGTTATCTAGAAGGATTTTAGGCAGGCATGTGACAGTCTGATTCATTTACTTGTGTGTGTGTGTGTGTGTGTGTGTATGTGATGGATCTTGCACTGGGTTTCACATTCTCTCTTAGCTTTCTAGCTCAAGGCTAGTGCTCTACCACTGAGCCACCCCTTCACTTTTTGCTGGTTATTTGGAGATAAGAGTTCCACTTTTCTGCCCAGCTTGGCTTGAAAACTCAATCCTTAGGTGTCAGCCATCCTGAGTAGCTAAGATGACAGGAGAGAGCCACCGCTGGCCAGCTTGATTCCTTTACTCTTTCCGTTGTGAAAAGATAAAGAGTTGTCAAGGGGTCAGAGGGTAAGCCAGTAGCCCATCACTGAGTCCAAGCAAGAGATACTGGGTGCCTATTCTGTGGCAGAGGC